TCAGCAAGACGAAACACCGAATGGACTGTACCATTCAGCCAGCCTCCGCAGGATGAGACACCGAATGGACTGTACCATTCAGTCAGTCTCAGCAACACGAAACACCGAATGGACTGTACCACTCAGTCAGTCTCAGCAAGACGAAACACCGAATGTACTGTACCATTTAGTCAGCCTCTACGGGACGAAAAACGGAGTGGACTGGTCCATTCAGTCAGTCTCAGGAAAACAAAACACCAAATGGACTGTACCATTCAGTCAGTCGCAGCAAGACAAAACACCAAAGGGATTGTGCCATTCAGTCAGCCTCTCCAAGACAAAATACGAAGTGGACTGGACTATTCAGTCACCCTGTACAAGACGACACACTGGGTGGACCATCCAGTCAGCCTCCGCAAGATGAAACCATGAGTGGAATGAGCCACGCAGTCAGCCTCTACAAGATGAAACAAAAAGTAGATTGGACCATTCAGTCAGCTTCTACAAGATGAAACATAAAATGGACTGGGTCATTCATTCAGCCTCTGCAAAACGAAACAACGAGTGGACTGGACCATTCAGTCAGCCTCTACAAGACGAAGCAGAGAGTGGACTGGACCATTCAGTCAGCCTCTACAAGACGAAACAGAGAGTGGACTGGACCATTCTATCAGCCTCTGTAAGATGAAACATTGACTGCACTGGACCACTAAATCGACCTCTACAAGATGAAACAACGAGTGGACTGGACCATTCAGTCACATGCCACAGCACAAATCTCTGGTCGCTGTGCCTTTGCTCTATCGTTACTAATTCCTTAATGCCGAACTCTGGGGCAAGCCTAACAGCCCCGTCAGCATACCCCGCTGGTCTGGAGAAGATGTCCATTCCTCTGCCCCTGATCAGGTGGCAGGACGCCCGTTTGATTACTTGCCCCTTCTGCTTTCTCCTCTGTGTTGGCCAGCATCTCCTGCAAGGCCCGGACGGACAGCGATTGCTCCAGCACGAAGGTGCAGATGGACAGGTCTGGAGGAACATTCTGGAAGACATGAAACCAAGCAAAATCACACTCCGGTGTCATGTGACTGTCGAGTCAAACCATTTACTGATAATGCCCACAAGTGTCCTTCTATTAAACATTATCATTAAATACATATTAAGAGTTTAAGCCCATTGGGTGAAACCTCAGCAAACAATAATGAGAAAAGGCATCTCTTTTGACTCAAAGGTGACGGCATAATTATCACTTAACACTTTTAGCATGTTATGCTATATTTTACCAAATCATAAACACACATACAAATAGGGGACAGGGTCAAAAACAATGAATACATTCGAATAAATTTACAATTCACAAAAAACGACTCACTTAGCATGACATACAGAAAAATGACTGACAGTTGACAAGATAAACATGGCTGGTCTCAATCAATAATATGTATTGATCTCTGGGAATATCATGATTAATGTAATTTCAAGCTTTAGGTGCTGGAATAAGGGTGATAATGAGAACAATGTGTATTTCCCCCTGTATCCCAGTATTGCGCCAAATTAATTTATTCTGGCTGAGACAGCACAAAAGCTCAAATTTGGCTGACACAGTCCCCTAGAGCACACTTGACGTTAGGCGATAACCTTTTCCCCGTTCAGCGGGAAACGGTGGCCAGGAGTCCGAGCCGCTCGTTTAAAGCTGCAATCCCTCTCGCGGATTCACCTGGATTGGCCACGGAGCAACATCGCAACCAAAAAAGGCAGAGACCAAATAATCAGCGGTGGGCACAAGTAACCGAAAAAGTTAACTTGAATAACCTTTAAATCCATTTACTCCAAAGTTTAATTTGATAATGCTAAACCAATAAATCGCTAAAAAAAAATTTGCTGCAGCTAACGATAAGCACTAACAGCTAACGTTTATTCTGCGAATTTAGCTTTGGTTTGGTTTTGAGCTCTGAAACCCTTTAAAATATACCTGGAGAGCTGAAATTCTAACCAGTTCAGTAATTTAGTTTAGCAGGGTTGGAGTGATTACCTGGGGTTATTTAAGGCTTACCAAACTGGGAATCATTGGATTCTGTAGAGTCTCTGGAACAAATGTTCTTTCCATTATATTGTGTGTGCAAGACATGAGCATTTTGCAGGAGTCCTATTCCACGACTGGCTCATGACATTTCGCCCTCAGTGAAGCCGTTTGGGACTACAAACATGGTGCTATTTACCCAGAACTACAAAGGAGGATCTCAGCTCTTTATTAGTCTATTGCTCTGTCAATCAGAACCCGGAAACTAAAGGAAAATAACCAGGGGCCAAAGCAGGATTTCTTGCTTAGCCAGATAACTTGTCGTATTTAGTCTGAGATAAATTTAAGTGAATGTACAAAGGAAAAGTCCATTTAAACTAGGGTACCTGAAATCTGACATGTTACGTGACTAAGTAAGAAATCCAGCTTCATGATGCAGGCCTCAGTTCTCTGCTTAGTTCAGGGTACCACAGTTTAAATGGACTTTATCGTTGTTCACATTTAGCCCAGACTACCTTAAATACGACAAGTTATCGACAAATCACATCTTGTGTTTTTACGTAATCAGCCAACAGCGTGCCATATACAGTAGACTGTTGCAGACACACTCACAGCAGACTGGAACAAATATGTGTGATGGTAGGGCTTACTAATGTTTTTGATTGTTAAACTTTATTTATTTTAACTGGAGAAAAAACGTTAGCAGATTTATAGTTAGCGGAACTAACTTTAGTGAAAGCTGATTGGTCCACTAACGGTTTTCAAAGTTAGTGGAAATGTTAATGTGCTAACAAAAAAGTTAGCTTCCCTAATTAGCGGCTAGTGGATTAGCGGAACCCTGTCCAGCACTGTTTATAACGTAACTTTTTCCGAAGAAACAGAGCAAGGCAGCAGTCAATTAACTGGCCTTACTGTGTTATACGTTCGGTTTTACAATCATTATATGTGCCTTTGTTTTTTAGTTGTACTGATTATATCAAAAACATTAAAGTTTTTCTGTGCTTTTTTCTACATGTCCTATTGAGTAACGTCCGATTGTTCTCACGTACGAGGTCCTATAGGAGCCTTAATAAAAATATATCAAGTGACGTCCAAAGCAGAAGCAGTGGATGTTAGTGGACGTATTTTACCGCTTCTACGGCACGCAGCAAGAACCAAAGCAAATCGATTGCGCTACCAGCCACGTAATAGTATACTGCAGGGGTCACCAACCTTTTTGAAACTGAGAGCTACTTCACGGGTACTGAGCCATACGAAGGGCTACCAGTTTGAAACGGCCTCCTAAACTTATCTAAACTTCATGTATAATAAACATGTTTTAAATGCTTTTTTTTTTTTTTAGATATTGTCATTTTCAAATGTATATAAATGCAAATGCGAATAAAGGAGAATAGCAACAGGATAAAATTACATTTTAGACGCTGCTCACTGATGAGTTGTGCTATTTTTAGAACAGGCCCGCGGGTGACTCATGTGGTCTCTGGGGGCATCCTGGTGCCCACGGGCACCATGTCGGTGACCCCTGGTATACTGTATATAGCTAACGTATAATATTGTACATATATGTAGTTGATAACAATGATATATATTACTTATTTTTATTATGTTAATGTGTATTTTTTCGTATTTACTGTTACTAAAAAAAGCACATAGCTCATACCATGGGACAGAGTGGTGGCTCTGAGGCTAGGAAACTGTGCCAGCACTCATGAGGTTGTTGGTTTGAATCCTATGAATGCCAGAAGTGATTCTACCCCATTAGGCCCTTGAGCGAGGCCCTTAACCTGCAATTTATCCTTGGTATGATGTTAACCTACATCCAGCCCAGCAAGCAGGTCCTTTCAGGGTTGATGACAGGATCGACACTCCAGCCACCAGAAAAAAAGCTTCACACTGTTCATTTCCATTCAGACTAGTGAGGTGTTGAGGTATCACCTGCCACATGGCTGCACTCAGGTTCTCATCCCTGAGGTGGTTCATCGTGTGGTGGGTGCAGCAAGATGCTATATCAGCATGTGCTCCTTACCTCCTCGACGAACTGTGTCTTATATCTTATGCTGTACAATATATTTGACCTCTTCCCTATAATGATCAAGATATATCCAGATTGACTTACAGCCTCACTTCCAGAACGTAATCCGGACATAAATCGATGGATACCTGAATTGTATGGCTTTTGTATTTTATTGTTTTGAGAATGTTTTTACCGTTGCATGTGCTCTTCCCTTAAGAAAGAGAAGAACCCGGGGAGTTCAGGTGAAAACTAGCCTTCTGTTGAAGCTCGGGGAGAACTGGAACTCCAGAGCCCGAGCCCCAGGTCGCTGTGATCTGCAGCGCCTGCCTCCACCACCACGGCTAGCTGTCACCGCGATTTTCGGAGGCATGCCGCTCTAGGGAGGCTTCATAGGGAGTAACACCCCCCCCCCACCCCCCATCCCACAGAGAGCAGGCTGTCGGCAGGAGTCGTGGGGAATAGCAACGCCGGCATCAGAGCCTCTCATCTCACTGACTTCCCCAGGAGGAGAAAGAGGAACCCACACCCCCACCCAGCCAGAAGAGCGAGAAGCACTCGTCTCAGTGGGAGGGGGACTAAGGTTAAGGGCCCGCTACAGACATCAGGGGCAGCATGCATGGTGTGTGCTGTGTCAACACCCCGCGGGTGAACAACTGCCTCTGAGTTACTGGGTTCAGGAAGTGACCACCGTGCAGCTGGTCATGTTATATGAAGAAGCAAGTTCTCTGAATGACCATGGTTTGTGAATGACCATGTCCTGTGAATGATCATAGTGTGTGAATGACCAAGTCCTGTAAATGACCATGTTCTGTAAATGATCATGTCCTGTAAATGACCATGTTCTGTGAATGACCATGTCCTGTGAATAACTATGCCCTGTGAATGAC